TTATAACAAAAAAAAAGAAAAAAAAAAAAGAAAAAAAACTTCAATTCATTCCCCGAATAATTGAAACACTTTTCATACGCAATAAATTATACAGAAGGACAAAAAACATTACCAAATGTAAGCAACGATTTGTATAACCGTGAAATTTCATTACTCCCGATTGTGATAAATTAAATAGGTACTAATTGATATCAGCAAAGTGACAAGAAACTCTTTCACTTTTGTTTCCAAAAATGTGTGATAAATGTCATAATTTCTAGTTCAAAATCTGTAAGATTGTTCAAATTCTGTGAACCCAAATTTACGTCGCTAAAGGCTTTTTTTTCTAGACAACGATGTCTAGGGAAAAAAGATTTTGGAAAGATCTTTCATTACAACATAATGGGAGAAAGGAAACGAAAAAAAATGACCTACGATAGAGATCGATTTTAATCCACACAACCCAAATTTATTTACAAGTATATAACTAAGAACTAAATGCCTAGGAAGTTCACAAAGAAAAAAGAAAACCTCGTTTCCTGTGTTAACCGTATTATAAGACAGAGATATGTAGAGTGCCCGAAAAACTCGACTACAGTTACTATACTATACGAAATAGTAAGCAGTGAACTACCCGAAATAAAACAATAGAAAAAGCATGAAAAGTTTCAGATTTTGGGAAAAAAAATCAGCATTCTGCATAAAACTTCTGTTAGAAATTTTTTGACGTCGAAATTTGCTTTTCATCATGAGAAAACCCGAGACAAAACGATTTGGCCTTTTTTCATAATTTTAGTCAGTTGGATACTTACATGAAAAAATATCTCTAAATTTTATACGAATCTCTTTACTAACCAAAAAAGGCACAAAAAGCAAGTAGTCCTAAAGTGAGATATGATACTTGCTCATGTTCAATGTCATCTGTTTCCATTCATCATACAAAAGAGCCAGAAAATACTTACATAAACAAATACAAGCCAAATAAAAATCATTCTAGCAGAAGAATATCATTACAGCAAAAAGATAGGAGTTCGAAAATTGGATGGGAAGGGGAGAGAACAAATTCGACACTCATATCTGGTTAACAAAATATACAGATTATCGGAGTAATGATCAACATTAACGCAGTGGTAAATTAAAAGCTAACCGTAAGAAATTTCTCGTAGCGGCGATTTGTAATAGTTCTTGTCCAGTATACTACGCAATGAACAAACATTACAGTTCTGATTTTCATTCCTTTTTGCTCTTTTTTGCCATTTCTTTTCCTGAAAGCAAAACGGAAGCGTTGTGTTGATTAATTATTTACTGCCGATTAGTATTGAACGGAGGTCGACCGTATCCAATGGGTCCCAGTTTGGTTGGAATAACACGTTGTGCTTTTACCAAACCCATCGCTACGGCTTTATCGACGGGCAGCTGAAAACAGAAAGATTCAAAATGAAATTAACATTTCAGTAAAATTCTCATATCATCAAAAGAAAAAAGAATGGTCAACTATTTGGACCGAATGTTATTCTCACAACGGTTTTGTCACATAACTTTGCTGCTGAGTGGTTCACATGCGTGATACATAGGCTTATATGACGTACACACAGAACTGTTCGCAATGTTGAAATGAAAATTTTGTGAACTGAGAGGTAAAAATTGATGTATGGAAGATATCCAGAAAGGAAATCCTGGGTTTCCCTTTTTTTTTGTTCTCCTCTTTCTCCTTTTGATCTTATCTGTTTCAAAATTAATATATCCTGGGAATTCTCTGTCTTTTTTTCCCTATAATGTTCAGGTAAACAGAATAATTTATTCGTTAGTGAAACAAACCTGTTTATGAGGAAAGACCGAGATGTGACATTTAATGCAGCTTTGTGCTTCATTAGCAACAGAATTTTGACTTGTCCATTTTCTCTTACACTGTTGGCACTGAAATTCACCGTAGCACTTCTTCCGACCCTGATATGGGGTTAACTCCTCGTATGGACTGTTAAAACGCTGCAAATTTTTGAAATTTCATTACTTCGCCATATAATTTTCCTTCCCTTTTTAATAGAATATACTATAATGTATTCATGCTGCGCAGATGAACAGTTCTAAGTTTATAATTCTGATGCTATCCACAGCACTAATAGTTGCAATCACTGCACAAGTCTATCGCGATTGGTGCAATGTACCAGCAACAATATGTTACATATTATTTCTTTTTAAAAAAAGAAAAAAAGAACGAATAAGAACAAAGAAATGTGAACATTCTGATTTGCTCCAGGATCTTGAAATCCCCTCAAACAAAACATTTCTAGCCTGACTTTAATTATAATAAAAATACGAACCATCGGGCAATCGGAAATATAGTGTCCAGTGCGGTAACAAATGTGACATTGGTACTTGGATGGTGGAGCCTTTTTTGGCGAACAGAGCAATTGTGTGAACTGAGCAATTTCATCCGACGAGAATCCATCTTCCTGTGCTGCTTGTGATGGCAAATTTTCGTCGTTCTCCGAACTTAGAGACTGAAAGCAGAAATTTTTTTAGAATTTTTATACTAAATTTTATGACACTAAACTATAAAGCACCAGATAACGATAACTCGTTGGGGGGAGAGAGGAGGTGCTTTTTCAAACCTTTTGGAGGAAAGGGAAAAAGAACAAGCTTCCAAAATTCTGGAAAAGAAATTGTTTTTTCTTTTTTCAGAGGTCAAATCAGCAATTTGTAAATACCAAATGCACGCATCTGAAAAGCAATCATTTGCTAACCGAGCAATCACTTTTTCCAGGTTAAAAACTTTCTTACTCTACAGAAAAAAGAAGGAATAAATTTGGGATTAAATCTATCCGTCTATTACTGTACGATTGATATCTAATAATTAGAAGTCAAACCAAGTTCAGATGTCAATAGTATTCAGTTTTCAGTTGAACAACATTTTCGAGAATCTACCATTGCCTAATTAAGTTAGACTAGTCTAGTTCACTGATTCAAAAATGACTGTCATGCGAGCGTAAAGTCAAAATTTTAATTTCTGGTTAGGTAAAGATAAAATGAACAGGATATGAAGATCTACTGTCTACTGTTTTGCGTTTTTTTTTGTCCCCAGTAAAATATTTTTCTCATATTTCTTAAAACTTCCGAAGTACCTTTTTGTTGTGCTCATTATAGATAATGGTTGGACCAAGCGATGCTGCAACATTTTCGCAATCGTCACAGGATACCGGATCACAAAGTGCACGCTGGACATGACTAGGCAACGAAAAGACTTGCGGTGCAGGGCTTGATAGCGGTGTCTCGCCAGTTCCAGGACTGCCGTACCCGGAACTCGTCCCGCAATCAAGAACATCCGAGCCGGAGGGCGAAAAGCACAATCCACTAACAGTTCTCTGAATTATAAGACTGAACTGGTCGCTGCGACACATACACCCACCCACTATCCACAAAAAGCAAAAGAAACAGGGAAAAGTTAAGTGACAAACAACAGTTGTACATAATCGAACAATAAAAAAAAAGAAAAATCGACACTTTTTCGACAACAGTTCGCTCCTAACAGTAGGAAATAATGCAACCCTTAAATAAAGGATGCGGAAAGCAGAGAAATGAATAGATTTGGAGGAAGCAACTCTTAATCCCTACCGGATCTGATTTCATATTCGAAGTTTTGGAAACCGATGAAAGAAATATCTCAAGCAAGCGTATCATATATGAAAACATACTGCTGAACTAAAACATACCAAACTTACAAAAGGATCGAAAATTTGCGTTGGTGAATTTGCTACTGCATTTGATCGAATTTGCGCAAATTGCTCTGCGACATCTAACGCCAAGCGGTCGTATTCAAACATTTCTGGCTCACTCACCTGAAAATTTATTTGTAAACTTTACAAATAAAATAGACCAAACAACTTTGTTATTTGACGCGTGTCTATATTTACAACGCGTGAAACATGCATAACATGCACTCATAATAACTGGTACATTTCACCTCCTATTTCGAACTTGCAGAACTAATAAATGAATTTCATACATCTTCGAAAGCTTGTCGCACAGGAAAGATGATTACACTACAGAAATGTTTGATTTCTAAAACTCACAGAATCTAACACGTATCAAAACGTGAAACGTGTACAGTGGCAGGTGAATGATGCATCTTATCTGTAGGATTGCTGGTTTCCCCCATCTCCTGCAAATAGCAGTGGACTGTCCTCCCCTACCTCGTACCAAACAAGAACTTCTGCACTTATCGGTAGTGTCCCTCTCCTGGGAAATTTTTTACCTTTAAAATACCTTGTAACAGAAAAATTGTTCTTGTTAAATGGAAATGAGTATTTAAAATTAGATCAAACTGTAATATCTGCGCCGGAAGCCTTCCAGCAGGCAAGCATAAAAGACACACAGGTCAAGAGTCACTTCTAATTGTTTTTTCCGGCATGTGGTTAAACCAGCAGATACGATAAAAGCAAAAAAAAAAAAAAGGCGGTTTGACTTACTATGAACAAATAAGGCGAAAAGTCAAAAAGAGTTAGGAAGTCCTACTTGTCAACTTTTACACTTATGGCCAACCAGACATTATCTACAAAAAACCACTGCAAATAAACTTTGATAAACGAAAACTCTACAGAGAATTAAGGACCTCTATAAAGGAGGCGGAGAATTGAACCGATTTCAACATATTTACTAACATGCAATTTCCAGACCAATACTAGTTTAAATATTACAGTTTTAAAATGATGCCAATTACATCAGTTATTCTGACTTCGACTTCTCAAAAAAGCTAAAATTCCAAACTTCTCCTAAACTGAAAGAAGTCCACCATTTACATCCGTTTTCTTAACAGTAAGCGATTCTCCGCCATTGTTACATTTTAGCCAATATGTTAAAAAAAAATATTTAGCAAATTTTGAGAGGAAGGACTCCGAATAGCAGAACGAACATTGGGCATCTCAATTATCTCAACTAATTACCATCTCTTCCAATTTGTCTATTGTCCTCCCTTGTTTTGCAAATACACGGATTACCACGTATAGGAAATATGGTCATCCAATAATCGTAGATATCGGTTGTCGAGGGATTTCCAAACAAGTTTCAACAGCTACTTCGGAGATGGGAATTCTGCCAGTTTTAATTTAGTTATAAAGCAATTTTCCGATACTGATATTTGATATTCCTTGAACGAAGAGTAGAAAGTTAAAGCTAGGAAATGGAATATCGTGTTGCTTCAGTTACATGTAAAAAAGAGAAGTGAAATCACAGTGGCTGCAGTGTTTTCATTCATTTTTATTTTCAATTTAAAAAAAAAAAAAACAGGAACTATTGGAACGCGTTGCGAACAAATAAATTGACAGGCGGAATAATGATACATGATATCCTGGAAACAGTTTCATGAGTAGCACAAGACAAGACTTATTAGTTAGCAATCCTGATGCCTCCGAATATGTAAAAAAAAAATTGAAATGTCCAGAACTATTTTCATAATTTAGTTAACAATTAAATATCAGAAATCCCAATCATCAATCAAAGAATTAGCGCTATTTTCAAAATAAACAAGGGAAGATTTCATCGGAAAGATCAATCAGGGGGAATGTCAGCTTCATAATTAATAACCTTAAGCAGTTCTGATTTTCAATTCAAAGATAAAAATGCAAATCACTTTCAACTGATTCGTTTTTAATTGTGATTCTGTTCTAAGCTTCTGCCTTATTTTGTTAAATTCTAAAAATGGAGAAGGTCATCAAGGTTGTACACAACAACATTGTACATCTAGCAATTGAAAGAAATCTCATAGGTATAGGAAGGTTTTTTTTTTTTTTTTTTTTGATAGCATAAGCCTCCTCCTCCCTTTTTATACAAGCTAACTGAAGAAGTATAGCTAAATGAAACTGAATTCTCCTCCCACTTTCCTTTAATTTCAAAACTTTATTGACGATTTTTTTCTTCCTTTCTTTTTTTTTTATTGGTGAAAAAGAAAAGGAAATGAAAGTGAGAAAGAGGAAAGAAACCATCAACTGATGAGAGAGAGGCATTTGGAGAAAAAGCAATGAAGAAGCCCTTCTAGTTGCACTTTTTAAGCAAACCAAAGCACTTAACTTCACTGCTAGCTCACTCACAAAACGTTTTACCACTTTACCACTGTGCTGTGTATCTTTTAGTATGTTTATTTGAGCGTAATTTCTTGCCAAAAAAAAAAAACTATTCCAGAAATGATTCAGCACTGCACACAGCTTTTCTAAAATGCGCAT